TGTTAACAACTGTATGTGTGTGTGTATGTGTATGTTAGACCAGCTTATGTGTGTATGTAGGATGTTAGACCAGTTTATGTGTTTATGTAGTATGTTAGACTAGTTTAAGTGTTTATGTAGTTAATAAAACCTTACTTGTATCACACTTGACGTGTTCATTGTTTGCTCATAACCGGAGTCACTAATCATGCAGATTTACGCTACAAGCTTTTGTAGAATTGTACAGTAAGAAAGTTATTTCCCTTAACCAGGAAATTAACGTTCTTAGAATTGACAAGACAGTTGACCCTGAGAGGTCAGCTAAATATCTACAGCGGATCTAAAATATTCATAATTAATCATAACTAGTTATGGTTAATTATTCATATTTCCCATGAGCTGATTCGTTACAGATACTCATACTGCTTAGTTTTTAGAATATTACTATTACGTAATGCTCTTGACACTGGTTTGAAATGTTTCTTCCTCCGGTGGTTTAGAGCATTCCATTCCGTTTATCCATTCTGAGAATGCCCACCTCACAAGCTGCTCCAGAGCAGGAGACTGAAAGATTAATGGGAGACTCCAATATAACAAATATAAACAGCAGGCGATGGCCATATTCGCTAAAACACAGCCCTTAAATGACGCCCTTCAGAATCTGGACTGAGGAGTTTGACCATAAATCAAGCCTGTGGTGTATTTATATCAAACTGTAACGGCAAAGCCTTTAAAGAGAAATTTTCCCATCAAGAATCTTCTGAGGTAACACAGGACTGATTAGGTGAACGGCAGTTAAGGTTAAGTACCTGTGAATTCTATTAGCGGTGGTGACTTGAGAGGGGCGTTTATTGAGTAAGTGTGAATGCGCTGAAGTGCCAATATCTGTCGCAAGAGACAAGAAGCTGAAATGCGATACCAAGAGTATGGAAAGATAGCCTCATTCCTAAGTCATAGATTCACTTCAAACCCCTGTCAAACCAGAAGCTCAACACTCTACCGCATAAATACCGAAAACCAAATCTGTGTGGACCAACCAGGCTTTGGGGTAGCTAAGTGTATTTTTAAGTGCGTTTACAATTATAATGTGGCTTAAACCAATTCAACTGAACGCTCAATGAGTTCAATGAGGTTTCAAGCGACAAAGTATAAATTAATTATTTACTTTGGCTTCCAATTAATTCATAACGTATAATAATGGAATTTGAATGATGTCAAAAATCACTAGAATATTAAATGAAAAATATTCCTGTCTGCTGTAGAGATGCTGTCATTTACGTCATTCTTTTGAGTGCATTTATGTTGCCACATTTCAGTGGTTGTAGGAATTTGGCTGTTTATTTGCTTAAAACAAAACGCTGTGGTTTGTTATCCTTTAATTTTTCAAGAAAGTCCATTTTGGTCTCCAAATAGCAATGGTTGTCACCATAAATCCCAGCATGTATGTAAGTGGAAAATGGCCTTTTATTTCCAAGGTACGTTTTCAACCTCTTGGGCTCTGCCAGTGCCTCTATCTCACTCTCACTTTCCGAAATCTCTTGCAATAGTCTGGGAGGAAACAATCAGGTGCATTCCACCGACATCTACAGTAACACACCAACCCACCTCACTCATTATCGACTTCCATATCATCCATTTGGAATGGCCTTATGACTCCTGAGGCAGCGACAACGTGGTTCCTTATAGTAACTGTACAGCATTAATGTTGAATGAAAACAGCGAAAGAACTTTGACCGAACACACCGAATTCCACCTATTAAAGCGTGAGTCAGTCCAACCAATAGTACCACCAATTAAGAATGAATCAGAAACATTTCTGTTTTGATATCTCAAAACAAAAGAAAACACAGCGAATAGTCTCTTTTTTTAATCTATTTTGTTTCAAGTCTGAACTGGTTTATATGCTGAGGGGGCCAGTTTAATTACAATTATCTTGTATTATGACTAGTTCATGAAAATTACATTTAAATGCTGCTGATGAGGAAACCCCAGTGAACTGTGTGACTTGTATTAGACAGAAACAAATTATCATTGGTTATATTTCCATCCTATCCTATGCCGAAAAAAAGCTGTATGGACGCAATGAGATTGGAAATGACGCATACAAGTTGTTTGGAAGTCAGATACTGGGGAGATAATGGCCCATCTCCCCAGACCTCCACTAGAACAGCTTATCTGAAGGCTAAAAACTTGCACAATATTTCATGGAACTGGGTCGATCATAGGGGCATGATCACACGCACCCTTCATTGTGCAAATATCTGGAGGAATTAATTACGAATGAATGTTGTTTTTGGGTTATCTTGATGCATTTGTCGTAGAAGACAGCGGGTCAATTAATACTAATTAACCTGCTATAATTTCATCTCAATTCTCAAATCTCACTGATGGCCAATGACAGTATTAATGACATCACTTGACTCAACATCAGATCAACAAACATTTTACCCTTTAGGACTCATAGGGTCAAAAAAATATTTGCAATATAAATGTTGCTTAATAATATTAATAATAATTTCTTCAGCATATAAAACAAAGGATACAGATATTTTTACTCCTATAATGGTACAGTTAAGACACACTCTCAGATAGATAGATAGACAGGCAGACAGACAAATAAATAAATAAATATCTGTACAAAAGCTGTCACTGATGTGCTACCCTTTCAAAACGTTAGATATTACATTACAAGCTAATATGTACTTTTAAGTTACTGATACCCGTTAAGGGTAAATAACTAAAACATGCTAACTAGCCAAACCTTGACTCCTTGGGTATGAATGAGAAATATCTTATTCAGGAAATAGGCCTGACGCATGAGACTGAAAGGCCTGATTAATCTACCATGAATCCATGATCTTGGTTTGAAAGCACCTACTGTTAAAGTCCTCACAGCAGTTCCTTCTCATCAGTCACACTGGGTGGGCTAGTGTTTGATACAAGTGTGTTTTGATGCAGTAACTCAGGAGTAAGAAAGGAAAACCTTGCAACATGGAGACAATTAAATACAACCTTTTAATTTGAACCGAGGCCTCAGGTACGTTTGTCCAAATGGCCATAATTAAATTCACCTGCATCTACTGTGCATCAGCGAGGAAGTGTTCAAGTTTTATATCGAACACATGGCTGTGTTTAGAAAATGTTTCAGTGCAATTTGAAAAGTCTTTGGTTTGTTTTGGAGGGTGTATAAAGATTCCCCCGTTTTGTGGTTAGCGTGATGCTTTAGTGATTCCTTTAAATGTACTGTAATCAGTTTGATTGTGTTCAATTAGCACAAATACCCTAATCAAAAGTCTGACCTTAGGTTCCCTAATAGAATAATCTGTGTTTTCTATGTAATTTAAGGAGCAATGAAAAACATTAAAAAAAAAATACAAAAGCCTGTAAAACAAGATATCGGGTTTAATTGCAATCAATAAAAATGTATATGTCCCCTTAACATTCCCACATGCATTCCAAGGCAGCATCCCATAATGTATTCTGCCAAACTCAATAAACAAAATAAATCCAAGACTGCATCCAAAATGGGTGAATTCAAAACTATATAGTTAATAAAAAAAAAGAGTTAATATAATTAACAGTAAAACATTTAAACATTCATGCAACATAATTGAACTAAATAAATTAAACATAATAAATAAATCACAAACCGATCATTATACTTAATGTATGTATATACTGTATGTTTTAAAGTGTTGCAGAGTATTGTGCTGTTAGCATAGCAGCATGCTAACATCAAACTCTACTAAAATCAATTGCAAGTCAAGTCTGCAGTGTGGAGTGCAATTTGGAACCAACTTTTCTAGGTAGGGCGCCACTTCCAACAATTTTAGCATACATCCCAGTGATTTATCCCAGTATAACAAAAGGAAAAAATATTAAGACTTTTAATATTTTAAATAAAGAAAATTATTTCACCAAGTTCAAGATTAAGTTTAAGGATGATTCTCACAAAACTATATTTTCTTCAAGAATTTTCAAGATAAATTAAAACTTTTTTTTATTTTCATAATTCACAATTTATGTATACAGTGCAACAGCAAAAAAACTGTGAGGAAAAAATAAATGTCACATTTGTTTAGAGCATTTTCTATAACAAGCCAAACAGGACCACACAGAGATGCCAAAAGACCACTATACCAGTCGCCTTAACCTGACTGTATATAAATATATATGGATTCATTCAGAATTATTAAACCGAGCAAAACACAAATTAAAAAAAGCAAATAAAAACATTCTGAATTTGTCAAATGTGGTGATCTGAAGGCATCCATTAAAATCGCCATCCATCAAAACTTCACTGGTGAGATACTGCTTTGCTTTATTCAGGCTATATAGACTAGTCCTGTTCAGCTTAAAGATAATTTATAGAGATATGTTTGTTCCCACCAATCATTGCACAAGTTAAGTTTACGTTTAAGAGGCAAAACAAACAGTCCAGAACAGTGGCAGCGAGCGTAACACTGTTGTTGAATGTGATAAAAAATCCTTCCCTTTCTCACTCACTAATTTGGGACACTCTACAGAATTTCTGCCAATATAGAACTTTCCAATCTGGTCACTTATGAAGTCCCATTATAGTCTTAAAAGGCAGCTAGGTTTTGTATAACAAAACTTCATTAGTGAATCATCTTACAAACCTGGGCCCCAGTTCATCTTCACAGCGCCAAGTAAACTCTCCAAAGCTCTCGTAGCGCTGGTTGTAGTGGTAAAGAACTCGGTGGAGGGCTGATGAGCCGAGGTCCATGAGCGTGTTGTAGGCTGTCTGCTGTTCCTTCCCGCTTGTGTAGCCGTTGAATAGATTATAAATCTTGTCTGCTATTTCTGAGGAGACATTCAACCAAATCTGAAGATTTATAATCTTGTGAATACTTTCCAAACCTATGAAGTTTATTCTAGAAAATCAATTCTCTACCTTGAGCCTTGACATCATCCACGGCGGGACAGGGAGATTTGATCGTCACCTCACTCGGTCTGGAACGCCGACCCGTGTTGTCCACCGCCCACAGCCGAAACCTGCCGTTTCACATTTAGATATTTGTCACTTATTCGATTCTCAAGTACGAAATACAGTATTTTGTACAGTGATATGATTGGGATATGTTGCAAGTAAAATTTGAATTACATCTCCAATATAAGCACCACAACTCAACATGTTTAGAGGCTACATATTATATAAAAAATTATTATTATTATTATTATTATTATTTAGTACTTTTATTAATAACTGTTATTTTCAGGATTATGATGATTATTATTTAATAAATTATAATTGTAAAATATTTTAAGATGCATCTGTCAAAATATTAATAATAGTTATTAGTATTATTATTAGTATTTAATAAGTAATAATAATAATAATAATAATAATAATAACAATAATAATTATTATTATTATTTTGCTCCTTCTTTCATTGATTATATTTTCAAAATAATTTAAGATGCATGTCTCAAACAATAACATTTATCAAAATATATTATTTCAGGGTTAAGGTTAAATGAATAAATAAGTGTATTTGGATTTATTCCTAGATTTATTTGGAAATAACACTTCCAAATAGATATCGGAAATTATGAACCATTACCTTTTCAGGAGTACTTTGAAGTTCAGAGTGAAAAAATAGTTTCAGTGTGCAAATTATGTAATCATATAACAGCATATACCTCCTTTAAAATCAAAATGCATGACTGCACCACTCCCATTACATTAGCATGAGTTTAACCTTCAGCTCATGGCTTTGATCTGAGGATCCCTTAAGCACAGACAACTGAACTTGAACAATAGCAAGCAGCTGTGGCGGTGTACCCACTCACTCCCAAAACATCACTGCAATTACTCACTGATGATATATGCCACAGGCTATGAGGCGCAAGTTGTAAAGATCATGTTGAACGATATCCCCATCTAGTGGAAGATATTATAAACAGCTACCACCTGCAGTATGGCAGCAGTGAGATCCTTCAAAGTGGCAACTTGAGAGTGCATGTGATATGGAGAAACCTGATGCAAGTCTAGCCTGCTCTATAAGGGTTGTTTGTAGTCTTTATGTATATATGTATACTATCACCAAAACAGGTGTATGGTACACACACACACACACACACAAAACTATGTTTAGATTCCATACACCTGTTTTGGTGATAGTGCTGAAAATAAAGTGTAATATCACAATATCCAAAATAAATAAATAAATACATGCATAAATAAATACATAAAATAAAATACAAAAACAAAAATGATGCTAAACAGAAGCATTTTCACTAGCAGTCTCAGACTTTTGGACCCCACTGTATTTTTCTTGAAACCTAAAACTGAAATGAACCTGACAATAACACTGACCAGTTCCATAAATAATATAAAGACAAGCTGTGCTTCTTTGAACAATGGTCAAAAACATTTGGAGAGAGGTACAGTAAGGAGGACCCAAACCTCCCTGCGGGCTGGTGTAATCTCTTCAGCGTGCCCTGCATGTGTGTGCTAACTGCCTGCATATGTGCAGGACAGGAAATCAACCTACCAGTGAGAAACATTGGTTTATAATGTAACGCAATGCAATGCAATGTAATGTAATAATAATTTACTATTATACTATTATATACTATTATTTTTATTACTATTAACCATATTTTTGGGGACGGTCCTCACTGCAGAACACAAGATCCAGGGAGTGTGGTTGGATCCAGATACAACTCCTCCCACCTTACATATACCTAAACCTACCCGTCTCGACCCCTGATCCCTAAACCCACCCATCTATCCATAAATAATATAAAGACAAGCTGTGCTTCTTTGAACAATGGTCAAAAACATTTGGAGAGAGGTACAGTAAGGAGGACCCAAACCTCCCTGTGGGCTGGTGTAATCTCTTCAGCGTGCCCTGCATGTGTGTGCTAACTGCCTGCATATGTGCAGGACAGGAAATCAACCTACCAGTGAGAAACATTGGTTTATAATGTAACGCAATGCAATGCAATGTAATGTAATAATAATTTACTATTATACTATTATATACTATTATTTGTATTACTATTAACCATATTTTTGGGGACGGTCCTCACTGCAGAACACAAGATCCAGGGAGTGTGGTTGGATCCAGATACAACTCCTCCCACCTTACATATACCTAAACCTACCCGTCTCGACCCCTGATCCCTAAACCCACCCATCTCCACCCCTAAACCTACCAATCTCCACCCCCTAGATGTGGATCCAACCACGCCCCATGGATCTTGTGTTCTGCAGTGAGGGGCTACTGCACTTTTGGGTCACAACCCTACAGTGAGAGCCACTAATTTATATCATAATTTACATTCTTATTAATCTTCCTTTGAGCATCATTATTCATCGTATATTGTGGTTCCTGTTTTTCCATCTACTTACCATATATTACTAATGTCAAACATTTAGTTGAACCTTTTATATGCAGCTCAGTTTAACACATCAATCTTTCTATTGCTGTTTCTGCTATTACCACAAAGTGCATCCTTTGACGCACTTTCAAACAATTGCAGATTATGAAATGTTTCCCCAGCTGTATCTGAAGCATGTAAAACTAGTCTTACTGTGCTCGCAGACCATGTTCTTCCATGTGGCATAAAAATAAACATTCCTGAGAAAAGGATGTAGTCACGAAACTATCCAAGAGTCTAAATAAACAGGGGCCACCAATGCAATTACCACATCCAATAGAAGATGTTGGGCTGATGTCACTAGCTTTTATTCAAAAGCGATGATTGGACCAATTATACTTTCCAAGAAGGTTCCTTACCTGCTATAGAAACTGCCAAGCCATTTAGTGAAAAGCACATTCTAAATCAACTACTGATATTGGAAAATTGACATAGATAGGAATTACTCCAGACCTATTTTACACAAATCATTATCGGATTTTCACAGCCTTAGTTGGATGTAATTGCTTAGACTCACGCAGATATTAAAATCCCTCATCTGACTGAAGACATGCAACTCAACGTCAGTTCAAAGTCCAAGTGAATCATCCAGCCAAAAGTGGGCCCTTTATGTTTTGTTTCTTACTGAACTCCAGTTGTAGTAAGTAAACTACTCACGTTACTGTAATCGAATTACTGTAAACTCGAGTCGTTTTTTCGGGTACTTGTACTTCTTTGAGTATATTTTTAAAGCTGTACTTTTACTTGTACTTAAGAACAAATTAAGCAAAATAATCTACTTCATTACTTTTAAATCATAGTTCGTTACTGAGTACGCCCACAATTTGAATTGATATTCAAACATTTGACGGCACTTCAGTAGCCAATAAAGATATCTGATCGTGAAGGGACCAATAACAGCCCTGATATCTGAACCGGGAAAAGCCGCCGCTGCAGCAGGTTCTGAAGAACTGATCAGAGAGTGAGGGAGCTCAGCATAATTTATGGACTCAGAGTTTGGAGAAACAAACTACATGGTAGTGTTATCATAAATATCTATATTCGACAGAGATACTGAAATATCTGACATGGTTCCATTACTAATTTTCCCGGTATCTACCGAATACAGCCTACACAAATACAAGCTGCGTCTCTCTCTCCTCTCCGACAGTGAGTTTGACACGCATCCGCCTCCTGTCGATTACAGAGTCTGAATGTCCACGCGGGATTGCAGGTATTCCGCATAATTTTAATAATTCCCGAGCAAATGTGGCGAGCGCTTTATTGTAACATGAGAACACAGTAATGTAATCGCAGAAAACTGGATGCGAGCTCTCAAATAGGCCTAACTTATACAAATGAACTATCTTGTCCTCTCACTCCGATATTGCTTGTGTGCACTCAGACTGTGTGCAATTGCGATCTCTCCGTGCTTTTAAAGTACAAATTATTTCTCTTTGCTCCAGGATTAAACTTTGTCAAAAGTTATCAACCATTCAGAATAGATCCACGTCTGACCGATGAAAATCCTACTAGAAATTTATAACAGCCCTGATATCTGAACCGGGAAAAGCCGCCGCTGCAGCAGGTTCTGAAGAACTGATCAGAGAGTGAGGGAGCTCAGCATAATTTATGGACTCAGAGTTTGGAGAAACAAACTACATGGTAGTGTTATCATAAATATCTATATTCGACAGAGATACTGAAATATCTGACATGGTTCCATTACTAATTTTCCCGGTATCTACCGAATACAGCCTACACAAATACAAGCTGCGTCTCTCTCTCCTCTCCGACAGTGAGTTTGACACGCATCCGCCTCCTGTCGATTACAGAGTCTGAATGTCCACGCGGGATTGCAGGTATTCCGCATAATTTTAATAATTCCCGAGCAAATGTGGCGAGCGCTTTATTGTAACATGAGAACACAGTAATGTAATCGCAGAAAACTGGATGCGAGCTCTCAAATAGGCCTAACTTATACAAATGAACTATCTTGTCCTCTCACTCCGATATTGCTTGTGTGCACTCAGACTGTGTGCAATTGCGATCTCTCCGTGCTTTTAAAGTACAAATTATTTCTCTTTGCTCCAGGATTAAACTTTGTCAAAAGTTATCAACCATTCAGAATAGATCCACGTCTGACCGATGAAAATCCTACTAGAAATTTTATTGGCTGTAAGTCAAATGCACCAGAAAGTATTTCAACAATCAAAGATGGAACTTTAATTTCTTTACAATGTAAATTTATCATAGAAATGTTATGGAATGGGATATTTGTCTGATTTGTATAAATATCCTAGTCTGCCTAACAGCATCGCTACATTGTACAGACATTACAGGCCAAAGTCATCTGATGTTCTATCTAAATAAATAGGTCTAACATACATATGCCTCTTAAATCACTGCTTATAAAAATTCAGTGTTGTCATATCTTGGATACCTCAAACTGAATTGAGGTCATTTGTTTTATAATTTTATTACTGACTGTGTACTTGTCTTTTTTTGTAAATTCAATTCAGTTTGAAATCAAGCTTCATTGTGCTGTAAGCTTTTGCAACAAAGTTACCCTATTTTAAAAACACAAATACACAGAATGAGCAAATGTTTAAGATTGAGATTTTTGTAATGGTAATTGATCAATATTTATATGTATGTAGATAAAAGCCTATATTAAAATCTGTTCATCATATAAAGCCAATGTGTCTTTTCAGAAGACTTGGATTAAACCAATTCCAAAGCTTGAAATAATGATTGCCTTGAAAAAATGGATGGACAAAAAAAATTAAAAAATTAAAATATTTATATGGCAGTATACAGTATGGTAGTTTTGCCAATGGTATTGAAAATGTTGTCATGAAATCAAAAATGACCCCTTAATTTTTTAGTGCATATTATTAGTCGTGGTGAACAATTGCAAGTCAATACAATGGAAAAAAAATGTCTGCTGTCGCTTCCGCTCTGGAATGGCATTCTCGCTCTGATGACGTCAGTTTGACGGCTTGGGGAGAATCCTCTTGTTAAGTCATGACGTAAGGACTGCTGTTTCCGGGTCCATGCCTCTACTTATTTCACTTGAGAATACTATCTCAGCAGCCATTTATGAGCACTATTTAATTAATATTACATATTTAAGCTAAGCATTTAAAAATTTGCTGTGCACACTACAGTCTCCGTGCTCACAGTGTCTCAGACGCTAATATTTTAGCTGAATCACTGTCAGGCCAGGATAAAGGTTAGGGTTATAATGGTTAGGGTTATAATTTTTCAGTATTACATGACATCGTTAGTGTGTATACGCAAAGTTTGTTGGTTTTTGGGGGGCTTCTGGCAGAGCGTTAGGACCCATAAGCGGTGAAGCGTGATGTCAGACGTAACAAGCAGATATTCTTAACCACTATCCAACCGTGAATCTGCTATGAGCAAGAGGTGGAGAGGAGGTGCACCACAATAAAACCCCGCCCTTTATTCAATATTCTGTTTCACTTGGAAATATATCACAACACTGAAGTCAGTTGCAACTTCCGGTTCATGTGTACTTTGATACTGATATTTTTCAAGGTATTGAATAGACCACTAATTCACGTACTTTGTCAATAAGATAAAAGTGGGTTTTGTTCAAAGTAGCTATTACCACATAGATCTTTGATATGAATATTTTTTAGTAATTAATTAAATATCGCCGGCTAAAAAGTAACTAGTAACTAGTACTCTGAGTAGTTTTTGAGAGGAGTACTTTGTACTTTTAATTAAGTACTGTTTTGGCACCAGTACTTTTACTTGTAATTGAGTATTATTTCAGCAATGTAACAGTACTTGTACTTAAGTATACATTTTCAGTGCTCTTTCCACCACTGCTGAACTCTCAATAAATGTGCCTCTGCCATGGTGAGGAAAAGGCAAAGGAAACAGGTGTTCCATGCTGACACAAACTGGCATAGAAATGCCGTGAACATGGCGCCTGAGTGACTAACTCTGAGATATTATGTATACAGTGTATATATATATATATATATATATATATATATGCTATTAATCGATTAAAAAATTTATTAATCAAATTTTTTTTCAGAAATGAATCGTGATTAATTCTGCGCTCGTTTGACGCCTGGCACTTGGCACTGAGACAAAGTTGTAGTGCGCATCTGAAAAGTCTCCCATTTGATGTGGTTGTAAACACTTTCTGTGTCTAAATAAATGAAATTCTTGTCAAGGAAAAAGAGAGCAGCAACAGTTGTGAGTGGGGTGGCGAACCCTAGCACCGCCCTTGCATTTTATTATTATTCCAACATGCATGAAAAACTGAATTTATATCAAAATAAAATTACGATACGACAGGTGATTTTAAGGGTAGTGGGTGTTAATGTAATATAATTTTGATAAAATCATGATAAAATCAAATGAAGTTACACATTTAAAGGGGTCATATGATGCGATTTCATTTTTTCCTTTCTCTTTGGAGTGTTACAAGCTCTTGGTGCATAAAGAAGATCTGTAAAGTTGCAAAGACTAAAGTCTCAAATCCAAAGAGATATTCTTTATAAAAGTTAAGAGTCAGCCACACCCCCCTAAAACGGCTCGTTCGAACACGCCCCCACATATCTACCTCACTGTGTGGGAAGATTTGCATAACACCGCCCAAATGTTCACGCAAAGAAAAAAGGTGAAACTTTTTTCTCGCTGTAGTATTGTTGCCGCTGCCGCCATGTCCTGAAGACGCTGTGTGATTCGTTGTGAAAGTGAAACTACTTTGTTTGGTCTTTCAAAAGAGGACGATATCCGCTTCGTCATGCCTGGAGCTGATCCGTGCTGGTTGCTGAGGGAATACATCAACTTAGTGCTGTGGATCGTCGGATCGGCTTTCACCGTTTTCACCACTCCTTCGCCGGGACCGCCGTTCTCGTCCCCGCCGCCTCATCTCACTCTTGCCCGGCTTCAACTCATGCTAAGCCGGGGCTTTCGCTCACGCTAGGCCGCTGTGTTTTTCGTTGTGAAAGCGAAACTACTTTGTTTGGCAACGCACTGGATAGCTGGCCAATCACAGCACACCTCGCTTTTTCAGACCGATGAGCTTTGTAAAAATCGACGCGTTTCAAAAAGTCGGGGCATAGAGGAGAAACAATAATGTACCGTATGTGGAAAATAATGTGTTTTTTTAACTTTAAACCGCATAAACAAATTTCATTACACCAAATACACAAAATAAGGTTCTTTTTAGCAACATCATATGACCCCTTTAAAAGCATTCTCATGATTAATTCACTGATTAATTTCAAAGTGCAAATGCTATTTTGAAAAATAAAATAAAATAGGGGCAAATAAAGTCATGGGTCTCTTTTGTCCCATTAAGAAACTCACATGTATGTGGTGTCTGGCTCCAAACAGCGTATTATCAAGGAGATAAATGAGAGGGGATCAGGGATGTCCCCGAGCATCACACATGGAGATTTGGCCCCTGACATGATGTCATCCACGAAACTCAACATAGTCTCTGTGAAGAGGAGAAGACTTTGTTTTAGCACATACACACACACAAATATACACAAGTTTACAGGATCTAATAAGCCGTTTTGATCTCCCATGTTTTTAGGCCACCAAACCATTTAAAACAAACTGTTTGTTTGTTTAGTTTTAAATGTCTGTAATCATGTACGATTAATGATATGTCATTAGGAGACAACCATGCATGCACAGGGAAAACAAACATCAGCAAACAAACCCCATCTCAGGAAAGCCTCCGCAATGGGAACACAGGACGCTGTTTTGCATGAGGATTTCCCTCACCCTGAAAACCCCTGTCTGATTCTGACCCAGTGCTGTGAAAACAAGTGTTTCCCTACTTCCCCTGGTCAGTGAAACAGGCTAGAACCTTCCAGAGATGGAGACCCTGTGGTTTGGAAATTTCGACCAGAGAAGATGTCAGTGGTTTGATTTTACACGAGACGCGTGACCCAAATAAAGAGCCCATACAGAAGTCACCTGTGGAGCTGATGTGCTTTGCCTTTCTTATTAAGAAGTGGACGGGAAGACTGTTTGCCCAGCTGGCCTGCATGCGTCACAGGACATGAGCACAGGGGCCTCGTGTGCCTTTCATAGCAAAGAGAAACCTCCCGTCCATGGATGGGGAACCTTTTAAAAGCGGTGGTCACCCTGCCTGTCTTCCTGGAGGCCTCCTCTTCAAAAAATACCAGGCTTCTGAGAACATGATGCCAGGATAAACGTGGAGGGGATAAGACTTTTTGTATGTTTATGTGCTTTCTGTCACCAGTAAGTATTTACAGTGCTTGTGGGGTAGAGAGTTGAGGAACACGTTAATGAAAAGTGATATTGTGAGGGACTGCAGCAGTTCAGGTCATATTTATCCAGTCATACACAGTTCCACCGACAACAAGCTCTAACATCTCTGTTTTATATCGAAAAAAAGGTGAAATGTTGCAAAAAGGCAATACAACTTAGATGTGTGTGGAAAATTGCAAAAGTGTGTTTTTATGAGATTTAAATTGTGCGCCATTTATGAACTGAGGAAGACATGATGTCTTAAAATTGCTTATGGGGGACTTCTCCTCTGGAATACTGAATGGGAACAGTGGTGTAGGAAGCGCCTTAGCGGCTCACTATTTTTTAACCATGTTAAACAAAATAATTACATTAATATGGAAGCCTGTTTCTGCCACAGGATAAAATAATTAAAAAGGTAAGTTTGACTTTTTATCTCACACTTTAGACTATTTTCTCACAATTTTAAGTTTACAACTTTCAATTCTGTTTTTAGTTTCCACCATCAAAAAACAATAAAAAATGTAATCGTGACTTTTCTTCTCAGAACTGCGAGTTAACATCTTGCAATTCTGAATTTATTTTTTGTAATTCTCACTTTATATCAATTCTGACTTTAAGCAATTCTAAGAAAGTCTGAACTGTGAGATATAAAAGTCACAATTACCCTTTTTATACATTAAATTAAATTAATTGGTTAATAAATAAAGAAATAATTTATTTAAATTAATACATTGTTAACACTTTAGTATAGGGACCAGTGTTGGGCAGTAACGCATTACTTAGTAACGTGTTACTGTAATTTGATTACTTTTTTAGTAACGGAGTAATTTAACGCGTTATAATTTTCAAAATAGTAATTAGAGTATAGTTACAAGCCGAGGTCTCTATATGTTACTGCCACGTAACATTGCTGACAGAATGCAGTGATTTATAATCTAGAGATTGTAAAAATGGGCGAGTGCTGGTGCGAGCGGGTAGACACTCATGTGTGTGCGGGATGCGGTAGAATAAAATGATTCACGGGACTCCCGCAAAATAGAAATATCTAAACATAAAATATCTAAAACAAATAAATTGTTATTCATCTATTGCACAAAAGCAACATGAACTAATATAAAAATAAATGGTGCAAGCGTATGCAGAGTTTCTATTTAGGCTATAACACGTGTTTGCAGCGTTGAGCAATACAGTGCTGGAACTTGCGTGCTCATGAATCCTCTCATTATAACACACGAATTGTAGACATTATGAAAGATTCATTATGCATATATTTGTTGAATTATAACAAAGATTTGTGAGATTGCGATGAACTGAGCTGAACTTGATGCTTTAATAACAAATATTTATCGGGAGCGTGTATGCTGGGATTTCATAAATTTCATGGAGAAAAAAGTAACGTAACTAGTAATTACCAATTACTTTTGAAATAACGTAATCAGAACAGTAACGTGATTACTTTTAAAAAGGAGTAATCAGTAATAAGTAATTTGATTACATTTTCAGAGTAACTTGCCCAACACTGATAGGGACCAATTCTCACTTTTAACTAGTTGCTTATTAGCATGCATATTACTAGCATATTGGCTGTTTCTTAGTTCCTATAAAGCACATATTCTGCATGACCATATTCTACATCTCTAATCCTACCCAATACCTGAACTGAACAACTACCTTACTAACTATTAATAAGCAGTAATTAGCAGTTTATTGAGGCAAAAGTTATAGTTAATAGTAAGTTAATAATGAGAACTGGACCTTAAAATAAAGTGTGGCCAATTAATTAATTATCAACCAATTAATTTATTTATTATGTCATTGATTGATTGCGTGATTAAATGATAGATGATAGATAGATAATTTTTTTGGCAAACACTGACCAGCACCCTGGCAAGCCTGTTGTTGTAGTTCTCAGAAAACAACACAGAAGGGGGAAATTTTAGGACTTGACATTTATGATTTGACTTTTTTCCATGAAAGATGATTAAGACAATTTCTTTGGAAATGAAGGTAAATCATGCATTAAAAGAATAACATTATGGTGACCAAACTAATATTGCCAGTTTAATTAAAGTTCAGTATCCTTACCTTGTTTATTAAGCTTAATTTGTATTTATTTATTTATTTCTGGTGCTCATTCACTCCATTTTAAGTGTCATCATGCATTGGCATGGAAACTTCCAGTCCAGTTCCCTACAGCAACAGGTCTGCAGGAAAAAGGTTTCCAATAAAATGTCCACATACCTAAAGTCATCAGTATCAACTGTGTGCAGTGTTTCCATAAGGCAGTGCAACAAATGTGTTCCTTGACAATTTAACTCTCTTTGACAAATGGTGATATGAAAATAATAATAAGCTAAATAAAAAATACATATCAAGATATCCCCACCTCTTTATCAATCTAAAACTTTGACAATCGTTACTAGTACAGGTGTCTGGCAAATATGGCTGATTTTATACTCTTTCATCATGTTCCATTCTCATGCCTCAGTCCCATTTTTTAACGGGAAAGACCTGGGCTATGACCACACTACGATGCCTGGCTGCCCTCTGTTAAACTTTCATGGGCTTTGACCAAAAACCATCTCTGATTCTCATTACTTTGTTAAAACATCAAGGCCCAGCCAGATAAAGGGAATCCAAGAGAAATTACCAGACATTTTGGAGGAGAATCACCAATAATGTTGAAGAAATGATACACATAAGTCCAAAGCAAATCAAAAACTGCTATTTAAGCAACATTTAATAATAAAAAAAGAAAACACAAACAAAAACATTTATTTGCTAAAGGGTACAGGTCTGCCAAGTGAATCAAAACTTGAAAATGTCTGAATATGGCATTACACAGCACACTGGAAAGCATTGAATATGACACCTGGCTTGCTGAATTACTTGGCAGAAAGAAACTTTTCAAATTTGATAAAGTCACGTTCAAAAGTTCAAACATGTGAACGCACTTTGACTTGGTCTTGGGCTGCCTGCTTCTCCGTATACAGAGAATAATACATTTGGTGGGTGAACATTTATTTGTGGCCCTGGACCACAAAACCAGTCATAAGGGTCAATTTTTCAAAATTGAGATTTATACATAATCTGAAAGCTGGATGAATAAGCTTTCCATCGATGTATAGTTTGTTAGGATAGGACAATATTTGGCCGAGATACAACTATTTGAAAATCTGGAATCTGAGGGTGCAAAAAAATTCAAAATATTGAGAAAATCACCTTTAAAGTTGTCCAAATGAAGTTCTTAGCAATGCATATTACTAATCAAAAATTATATTTGAATATATTTACAGTAGGACATTTACAAAATAACTTAATGGAGCATGATCTTTACTTAATACCCTAATGATTTTTGGCATAAAAGAAAAATCAATAATGTTGACCCATACAATGTATTTTTGGCTATTGCTACAAATATATCCCAGCGACTTAAGACTGGTTTTGTGCTACAGGGTCACATTTGGGAATACCTTATCCTAGTATGACCTTAATCAGGGACTGAACAATATGCCAATTAATATAGCTCTGATTTATCCGGAATTAAAGAAAAATTAATGGCATGGTTAAATTTATGGGAAAACACTCAGCTAAAGCATTTATTGTTTTAAACAGATGTTGGTAGTGGAAGAAAAATAAATAAATAATGCATTTTCATAAAAGATCTGGTATCTTATATGTAAAAACCAGCCAACCAACGGGATGACTAAAAGATGTTGTCATACTGGGAGTGCATAACATGTACAGCAATTCAAAGCAAGACCCTTCTCTCAACATCTGAGTCTAAGACAACATTCCTCAAATGACTCCTACATTCAGCCTGAGAAACATCAATACCTTGATGTAAGTATCAGATTTGTGCATTACTGAAACAAGATAAATCAACTGTGAATAAAAAGAGAACATAAACCTTGATTGACGTGAATACACATGTCTATGGTAAACATTGAGCCATCGTGTACCAAAATATTTATTTTTGCCTATGAAATACAGAGGATTCCATTAAAAACATAAAGAGGCAACAGCTGTGAATTGGATTCAAGTGAGCTTCTAGTGTTTTGAGCCTAAAGCTTTTCCACAATGTTTGCCATATGTCTCCTCTAAACTGATTTGCTGCTACTTGCTACTAGACACATAGACATTACTGTTTCTCCCCTGCAGTGAACCAGGAAGCTGAATGTGTATAACTGAAACTAAACTGTAGCAGAGAAC